ACACATGCACACACACACACACACACACACACACACACACACACACACACACACACTTTTCCGAGACCTCTCCCCTCTCCGCTTTATCTGTCTTAATTCACCATTATCTATTTCTCTTTTTCTTTGGACGGTTGGCGGGTGCTCTGGTGTGGTTTGCTCCTTCTTTTCTATCCAATATATTATGTTATCCTTATCTCCCCTTCTCCTTTTTGTGTTTGCTTCTCTATTCTCTTGTAACACCTCTAATCTTCGACACCTATATGACGTTATTGTATTGCAAATGCGTAAAACTCTTACTAAAATTCGTTTTCTCTCTCTGTCTTCTCTCATAGTCGTTTGACACAGCAGAATTGTTGAAATGCCTGAAGAAACTCGTCTCCGTAGATCAAGAGTGGGTGCCCTACTCGGAGAAATGCTCTCTCTACATTAGACCGACTTTCATCGGAATAGAGGTACAGTTATCATGTCTGTCGTTATCCTCAATAACATCACAGAAATCAATCTTTAGTCTCATCCACCATTATCATGAATCATGAAATACTTCGTTATCCCCATCATCAATATCATTATAATATCATAGTCGTGGGCGGTTGGCGGGTGCTCTGGTGTGGTTTGCTCGTACTTAAACAAACAAAATATCATAGTCATCCATATTATCATTATCGTCACAGTCATTGTTATTATTGTCTCATCACAGTCATCGTTATTATTGTCTCACTCATCACATTCATCATCATCATCATCATCATCATCATCATCATCATCATCATTATCATTATCATCACAATCGTCTTCAACCATTATATTGTAGAGGAGGAAAACAGTGTAAGAACGTTGGTTGTTGGCAGGAGTCGCCGCTAGTACAAAGTTCGACTACACAACTCTCTATTTTATCTGTCGGTCCATATTTTTCCCCAGCCCAAAAGGATAATTACCGTGTCGGTCTGATTTTTTGTTGTTGCCATATATACCTACACTGGCTCAAAAATGAAAAGAGTTTGTCTTGAAACATGATTCATCAAGCAATTTGATGTTAACTTTATGACGCTACAATTATAACATCACTGCTTTAGTTTTCGTTGTTTTTTGTTTTTGGTATTTTTGAGGAAATTTCATAAAAACAATGCTTACCCAAGTCAACGTCATGACTTGAGCAAGAGCGAAAATAAATGTCTTAATATAATTGGATTTAACTCAGTCTGGTCAGATCATGCAGATTTGATTCATTTAAATATTGGTTCATAGTCAAGTTTGTTATTCTCCGGACAATAAATAACCACTCCTCCCTCCCCCCCCCACACCACCCCTTCCCTTTCCTCCTACCACTATCCTACACTCTCCATTCCTTCCTTCGCCAATTCATTCCTTTCCTCCTCCACTTCCTTCACATCCCACTCTCTCTCCACCCACCCCCTCTCTGTCTCTCTGTCTCTCTCTATCTCTCTCTCTCTCTGTCTCTCTGTCTCTGTCTCTCTCTGTCTCTGTCTCTCTCTCTATGTGTCTCTGTCTCTGTCTCTGTCTCTGTCTCTGTCTCTGTCTCTGTCTCTCTCTCTCTC